GAAAAAAAAAAAAAAACACGTTTGACCTCCTCCTCCTCCTCCTCCTCTTCTTCTTATTCTTCTTCTTCGTATTTATTGTTTGTTGGTTGTTTTTCCATCTTTTTTCTTACCGTATATATTATCTATATATATTTATCACTTTTTATTTTTGTCATATATATATATAAGAAGAAATTTTAGAATGAGAAAAAATGTTAAAACTATCTCATTATCGCCGCTAATCCTAATTTAAGGTGTCTTCTTTTTTTTTTTTTTTTTTGTCATAAAACAGATTCTTTTTTTCTCTCTCTCTCAAAATGATGCAAACGTGTATCCATCTTTTTTTTTTTTTTTATTACCATTTTTTTTTTTATAAATATATAAATTTATATCGATACGGAGGACTTTGATAATTCCGCTTTCCTTAATAATAATAATATTTCGCGCGTTTTTATTTTTTTTATTTTCGTTAAAAAAATTTTTTTTTTCTTCTATAAAGATTTTTAAAATTTTTCTTTTTTTTTAACGAAAGGATTTAACGGTTTTTATTATTATTATTATTATTATTATTATGCGATGGTTGTTTCATGGCGTTAATTAATACCCCTTTTTTTTCCAGGCAAATGTTTCCGCAAATGAAATTTCGAGTTTCGGGTCTCGATGCCAAAGCCAAATACATTCTACTATTAGACATCGTCGCCGCCGATGATTATAGATACAAATTTCACAACAGGTATTTTATCATTATTATTATTATCATTATCATTATTAATAGTGACGTGAAATGATTTTGAAATCGAAACCGTAAAAAAAAAAAAAATTAATTATCATTATCATTATTTTTAAAAAAAATTTTTTTTACGTGGTTACGTAACCGCCGCACACGCGCGTTACATAAATAAAAAAAAAATTTTTTTTTTTTTTTCGTACGTGATTTTATTACGTTTGTTTGTTTGTTTGTTTGTTTGTTAGTGGTTGCGCTTCGCGTTTAAATTGATAACGATGGTGGTGGATGGGTAGGAAAAAAAAAGGGGGAGGGAAAAAAAAATTAATTTTAATGTTTCCGAATGGATTTTAAATTAATTAATTAAATTTTTTTTTTTTTTTTGTTACAGCCGGTGGATGGTTGCTGGAAAAGCGGATCCGGAAATGCCAAAAAGAATGTACATTCATCCGGATTCGCCATCAACTGGAGAACAATGGATGCAAAAAGTTGTTTCTTTT